TGGTGCCGAGATGACCTTTTGGTTGTGCCTACTTTGTTGATTTGTACATGTCACTTGAATATTTAAGGGGTCATATATATACTCAACTACTCAGTGGTCAACATAAGTTTACATTTTTATTATTTTTAAAAAACAATAAATAAGTAAAATGAAAATCACCTTCAATTACTTTGTTATGTGAAAAGTAATTAATATGAAGTACTTTGTGCCAGAAATATAAATTTATCTGTGTAGTCTTTAAATTTATCTGTGTAGTTTTATGATGAGAGGGCAAATTGTACTTTTATTTATTTATTACTACTATTATTTTATCAGTGCTCCATGGTATGTGACAAGTGGCTATTATTATTATCCTCATTTACTTTTTTGGGTGCAACCTATTTTCCTTTTAACTTTTTTGAAACACAAGTCAAACAACCTAATGTGTAATGTCCTCCAACTTATTAAAATAGGTTTTACTAAAAAAGAAAATAATACTAAATTTGTGTTTTTTTTGTCTAAAAAGTACTAAATTTGTCATTTTATGTTAATTTCAAACTAGTTTGAGCTTTTATTGTCTAAGTTTAGAGAAGAGAATTAAGTTTTGTCTATCAAAACTTTATGAGATCAAATTTTGAACTTAGAATAATTGTTGCACATTTAAACTTTGCACCAAATAAATGCTTTGATTAAATAAATTATATTTAAATGATGATAGTATATTGTAAAGGGAATGGAAATTAATTATTAGTAGATTCGTATTTTATTTTCTATATATAAATCTTCTTATCTATTAGATACAAATAAATAAATATTACAAGTTGTGAGATTGTATAATAAAATAGAAGTATAATATATACGCAGTATTAGATGATATCTTTATGGCACGTAAATGACACTTAAAATGTTTTAACTTTTGTTGGCTTTGAGTTTTATGAATATTATGGATCATTTAAGACTTTATTTATTTATTTTAGGGATATTAATCTTAATTAAGCCTGAAATTCGACTCAACATTAAAGTGGCTTGTAATTTTTATTATTTATATTTAAATCAACGTTCATACATAACCATCTAGTAACCTCACATATATACACGTAAAAGAAGGCCTTAGCTTGATCCAATATGCAATCAAGCTAATTGATGTGTATAATATTGTAATTAGCCATATATATATAATATTAACCTAACTAAGCTAGATAATTAATTCTTTATTTTCTCAAAAAATGTATGACATATTCACATGCAATTTCACTAGTAACATTATTACATTAATGTATAGTTGATAATTGTGGCAAGAAATTGGTTGGCCTTTTCATTTTTGTTATTCAACAATTGTATAAACAAGGATAGATTATAATGATGACCAAATCATGCATGTGATAAAAAAGCAACTAAAAGTCTATATTTAGGTCTTCACCCAATAAGTAAGATGAGAAATGCAAGTATTATTAATTCCTGAATTCGTGAAAGAAAGCTAGCTTAATTATATCAACTTGACTTTGTATTTTCTTTGTCCATGCCACCATGCAAAGTCACAAGCTAGACGTACTCTTTGATGGATTTATTTCTTACCAATTTTTCATGCCTACTTATTATTGCCTCCTCCATTGGTTAAGACTTCTTATTGCTGATATACGTCGTATACTCCGAACTTATATATTTGTAATAAGTTTTATATGAATGAAGATGAACGAGCTTATAAAGTTCATTCCAATAACTAAACGTTAACTCAATCGATTGGAATTACAAATTGATTTTGTTATTCTTCTTCTTCAATACAAGACGTGGACAATCCACTAGTGCATTCACAAATCGCAAGTACATTTATCATAAAATGTCAATAACTAATTAATTTGATATATTTTTTAGTATAACTAATTAAGTGACAATGATTAGTGTCATTAGTCATAACCTACTTTATGAAAATTTATTCCTTTTGATTAATTGATAATTGACTCTCTCTCTCTCTTTCTTAAATTTTTAGTTTAAATATAATAATATGACTACATAATCCATATCCAATCTAATTATTCATGCATAATTTAATTTTTTGATTTGAATTCCTTAGGTACATAGTCCCTATCTAATCTAATTATTCGTAAGTTTTAGGTTTGAATTAATTCCTACTGCGTACATTCTATGAAATATAAATAATATGGAGTACTAATCTTCCTTTGGTCCATAAATCTCATATTCAATCAATTTTTGTTATCAAAATTACTATGGTAGGAGTAATTTAATTATACACTCAAAATTTAAAGTTTCTGATAAATTTATATATGTCGGATGAATTTAACCTTAAAAATATACTATGCGATAAAATAGTTTATGACAACTTCCTAGTTATGGTAAGATTAAATTACCTTATTAAACATATCACTTTATCTTTAATGTGAATGACAAAAAAAAGTATATACACAACGTCATGCATATACACTTATGATAGTAATGAAAATCTTATATATGCCATATTATAATAGTGATCTTTCTCAACTAGATGAACTATATATTTCTATTTATGATAATTTTGTTATAGATGCATACCAAACATATTAAATTTGTTGTCGAACACTTCGCTACACTTTGAAGTTAATACCAACTTAGAACATTACATATAACGTGGCACTACTTATAGCATAGACCAATAATAAATAGAAAAGATACATATACTTTGTATATAAATATGAAACCGGCAAATTATTACAAGTAATATAAAAGTAAATCCTAGTTGATGGGAAGCTAGGCCCCGGGTATTGGACACACTTTACTTCCCTCTTTATTATTCGATATGATCATAAGTTATTGGACAATGTAATCCCAAAAGGTAATCGCATGTTACATGTTTAAATTTTGAATGTTTATAAAATTATCGATTGTAAACGAGTTAGGCTTGTTCTTTTGAGCTGTTTTATTCTGCTCTGTTGAAACATGCTTTGCTTAGTATAAATAAACTACTCTGTCCTGCTCTGTTGAAATCTGATCTGTTTAGAAGCTCAAAATAATATGGCCTAAGAGATGTAATGATTTGTCTGTTGTAAATATATAGTTGTAGGTCCAATTCAACTATTTCCTCGGGTTTGGTTATGTTGTACCTTGAAATATAAGCTTATCCAGCAAGAGAGGACTATGATGAGAGTTAATTAGTGTAATTGTTGTTTTAAAAAATTTAATAGTGATAAGCCAAGTGGGAGGAAAACATAAAACTAATTAATAAATATGGCTTGTACGTACAAGATAAGGCTAAGTGTGATAACCACAAAGTTCGCTGCTTAATTGGTCATCAACAATAAACATCCCTAATCATATGCATAAACTTCATTACGAGATAACAAAGAAATTATTATGTACAAAGTATATCATTACCTCATTCATCAATATTCAATGTATATATATCATCAAATTGTCAGTCCTTAGTCCTTACAATAGATCAGATTTGGGGGTCCAAATTAAACCCCAATTCTACATATATACAATTCCATTGACTTAGGAGATGATAGACAAGACTAGGTTTGGGATTGGGGAAGAAGTCTTGTTTAAGCTTCAATTCTATCCGCTGCTTATAATGTGCTTGCGAGCCACAAAATTGTTTTTGAAAGCTACGTCTACATGCATGGCAGGGCCCATATATAAATTCTTAATTTTTTGTGGAATACAATGAGGATTTTTATACTATTTTCTGATACTCCGATATAATCCCAGGGGAGGGGTATAAGTATATAACTCATATAGTCATATAAAGTCTTGATAGCTTGACCTTGGTTTTCCCTCAATGATTTTAAATGTGTTAGCAACGGACAACGAGTTATACACGTTATAAAATAAACCACATATAGCAAATCTTACATCAAACACAAAGCAATGACATTAAAAGTTGTATGAAAAAAGTTATATATATATATATATATATATATATATATATATATATATATATATATATATATATATATATATATAGAACTATATGAAAAAATTAAGTTGTATGTAATAGTGCTAAATTAAAGATTATGAATAAGAAGTTATAAATATACATAGAATTATTAAACATTAAATGTCGTATAATTAGTTATTTGTGCACTTCAAATACTCTATATCCATCTAATGGAGGGATAAATGTACGTACTTAACCCCGTGGATTATGAATAACAAATTAAAACCCTCAATTACAAGTAAGATAGTTATTGCTATTTTCGTTAATATATACGTAGTATTTTTCCAAATATATATGGTTTTTGTCCCCTAACACAAAATGTGTATGTAGCTAATTAATATTACGAGTCCCTACAATCTATCATGATCGAGGTTTTTTTTTTTTTTTTTTTTTTTTTTTTTTTTTTTTTATCACTAATATAGCAACATTTTGTATATGAATCTTGTTGCATCTAGAGACTTTTAACATCTAACTAATTTTGATATGAATAGCTTAATTATGACACAGTATTAACTACTTTGGAAACGATGTGAGTATACATTGTGGTTATTTTTATCTTAATGAGTTATAAGGGCAATACAAATCACAAATAGTTATGGCAATCAAATTTGACCCTATGACTTATTATTGTTGACACAGACACTCAATCTAAACCACTAGACCAAGACCGACTTTGCTTAGCTTGTATATATGAATAATATGATTTATGATCGGATTCATGATGTATGTTTTTAAAGCTAACTAGTCCATGCAAATTTGACTCTATGACATATTGTTGTACTTACACGGATACTCATCAATCTAAACCATTAGACTAAGACCGACTTCGCTTAGCTTACTTGTATATACTTCGTATATGATTATGATTGAATTGATGATGTATGTTTGTAAACCTAACTAGTCCATGCAAATATATATGCAACCACATTTTAAATAAAAAAATTATTTTAAAAAAAACCAACAAAATCAATATGAATATAATAAAGTCCCCCAGCTAAGAGAGCGTTGCATGATGTTGAGTCCTCCATTGAATATCCTCCCATCTGCCCACAATTAATTGCTCCCATCTTTCTTTATATTCCCCTTTCTCCCTTCTCATTTTTCCTATACCTCGTTCACACACATAAACTATACTTGAAAATTATTATATTTTCTCAACCCTTTTTATTAATTCCAAAAATCAAATTAAATTAGCCATTTAAGAAAAAAAAATATATAGAGAGAAAAAAAAAAACAATATTATATGGCGAACAGTTCGTCAGTGAGGCTCAAGTATGTGAAGCTAGGTTACACTTACCTAGTGAACCATTTCCTTGGCCTTATCCTTATACCCATTATGGCCGGTATAGCTGTCGAAATCCTTCGGGCCGGACCCGAACAGATTATTTCTCTTTTCAAATCTCTCCAATTAGACATTATTCAAGTCATGTGTTCAACTTTTCTTATTATTATTATCCTTACGGTTTATTATATGTCCAAACCACGACCTGTCTATTTAGTGGACTACTCAATGTTCAAACCCCCGTACATTTTTAGGGTCCCATTTGCTACCTTCATGGAGCATAATAAGCTCAACTTGAAGGACGACCAAAAGGCCGTCGATTTTCAAACCCGGATCTTGGAGCGATCCGGGTTAGGTGAAGAGACGTGTTTGCCCCCGGCTATTCATTATATTAACCCTAAACCTACTATGGAGGCTGCCAGAGGCGAAGCTGAGTTGGTTATTTTTTCTGCTGTCGACGATTTATTAAAAAAGACCGGGGTTAAGGCTAGAGATATCGATATTTTGATCGTAAATTGTAGTTTATTTTCTCCAACTCCGTCGTTGTCCGCCATGGTGGTGAATAAATACAAGCTTAGGAGTAACATTAAGAGCTTCAATTTATCAGGCATGGGTTGTAGTTGCAGTCCTATATCCGTTGACTTAGCACGAGATCTGTTGCAGGTAACTTTTTATCAGTCGATATTTAATTATGTTACATACTCTTACGTACTATTGGAGAGTTCTTCACTTCTATCTAATGGAGTAGTTGGACTACATTTATCTCTCTTTATTAAGGAAATTGTTGGAACATCAAATTTTTGAATTTTGCATTTAATTCTCAATGAACATATATATATATTGGCCCCGTGACTGTGAAATTTCATGGAAAAATAAAATAATAAGTAGTATGAGTAGCTAGTAGTTGGAAAATAGGATATTGGTACAATTCAATTTAATACGTTAAACAAAGACACTTTAATTTTTAAATTTTTTACAGTTTAATTTGACAATAAACTATTAGTTTGATGAAATTTGTTTAAGCTTTAGCTATATATATCTAATGGGATGGTAGATTTGGTTAAAGGACAGTTATTTAGAGCTCAAATTAGGTTATTTTGAACATAGAAAAGGTCAAGTACATTTAAGAAAATAAAGTAGGTAGTTTTTTTTTTTTTTACAAGTTTGACTGTACGTTTGAGTGACAATAATATTTGGTCAGGGTTAATTTTTTTTTTAACAATATTTAATTAGTTGTTTATGATTTGTTAATACGTGTTTTGTACGTAAACTTATATTATTCGTGAATTGTAGGTTCATCCTAACTCATATGCCATGGTGATTAGTACGGAGATCATAACTCCGAACTACTACCAAGGGAAGGAGCGAGCAATGCTCCTTCCCAATTGCCTTTTCCGCATGGGATGTGCTGCCATCCTATTATCCAACAAGCGGAAGGAAAAGAAAAGGTCTAAGTACCAACTTCTTCATGTCGTCCGCACCCATAAGGGAGCGGACGACAAGGCCTACAAGTGTGTCTACCAAGAGGAAGACCGCGAAGGCAAAGTTGGGATCTCCCTCCAAAAAGACCTCATGGCAATCGCCGGTGAGGCCTTAAAGTCCAACATCACTACCATGGGTCCTATAGTCCTACCAACCTCGGAACAACTACTCTTCCTATTTTCTCTCATCGGAAGGAAGCTCTTCAACCCTAAATGGAAACCCTACATACCGGACTTTAAACAAGCTTTCGAGCATTTTTGTATCCATGCTGGTGGTAGGGCTGTTATCGACGAGCTTCAAAAGAGTCTCCAGCTCTCCGCTGAGCATGTTGAGGCATCTAGGATGACCTTACATAGGTTTGGAAATACTTCTTCATCCTCCCTTTGGTATGAGCTTAGCTACATTGAGGCCAAAGGGAGAATGAAGAAGGGAGACCGTGTTTGGCAAATAGCTTTTGGAAGCGGGTTTAAGTGTAACAGTGCAATTTGGAAGTGTATTCGTACAATCAAAACACCCGCTAACGGCCCTTGGGACGATTGCATTGACCGATACCCGGTCCATATACCCGAAATTGTGAAGCTGTAGATGAAGGCCTAGGCCAGGGTATATTATCAATTGAACAAAAAATTTTAAACATAAATTGTTACGTTGTTTGTTATTATTTTTCTTGTCATCATATATTGTTTGATTAACTAAAATATGGTTTACTCTTATATTATAAGATCAAGGGAAAAAAATCCTTTGTGATGATTTTATTTGTAGTTTAGTTGTCATAAAGGTTTCGAATAGAAATCTATCATGTTATGATGAAATAGGTAAATGTTACCTTTAGCTTCTGCCCATATGTTGTACTATAATATTTCACAATGAAAAAAAACAAACACCGTTACACTATTATCATATCATATGCTTAATTCTGTCATTTTGATTGATTTAATTTGGTACCAAAATATTGTCTTCAAATAAATGAGCAAATTTGTTACATAAGTCTTGTTTGGTTAGTGGTAAATTTACACTAAGCTAGAACTTCAAGCTCTTTGACAATAGAATAATTTTTGTACATCATAATTTGTTGGTGTATGTATATAGATATGGAATCTAGATCTTAGATCATCGATCGAATTTTTTTTTTTTTTGTTTGAGGGCATTGTAATCCCAAATTCTCATGTTCTAGGACAAGTTATATATTGTAAATTTAAAAAGGGTAGCAACGAAAATCACACATACATGACATGAAAAATTAGTTTTAACAAGATTCAGGAACTTTACACCATACATGCATGTAATTAAAGGAAATTAAATTGGCCTTTTTTGGTTCCACACTAAAATTTGTGGGTGTAAACATAGAGTTTCATCTTAGTGAAGCTTTGGTACTTATATACTATGAGTATGTACTAAGTAACTTTAATTATCATTACTATTATCAATTTATCATGGAAATATCGTTCTCATATGATGTACGAGTATACATATGACAACAAAAAACAACTCAGAATGTTCATTAATTAAAAAATAAAATTAATTTATGTGGCATATATAGTTGTAAAAAATAAAAACCAAATGTCTTGGATGGATGACACACACACACAATAGCAAGCCAATTAGTCAGTCCAAAATATTATCTGAGATTTAAAGTCAACACTGTATAATATGGACTAATTTATAATATATACTATAAAACTATATGATATGATAATGCAAGAGTAGCAGCAGAAAAGATTTAAATGGGGTATCAAAATCATAAAATTGATGGAAATTTAATAAGTGGAGGTTGCAACTGTGCCCAATGCCAACTTGACAACCCTCCCTCTTTATCACTTCACTTCAAAAAATGTTGGAAATTAGTTGGTTAGGTCTGATAACTTCCATTTTCCAAATTTTAGGTATATTATTATATAAAATACCCAGGGATTTATTCTGACATAAATTAAATACACTCGTTTATACAGCTTCATATTTAGATGGAGGTAAAGAGGAAGCAATTTCAGAAAAATTAAACATTTAATGATTTTGTATATGTAATTATGATTATGAAAGAAGTGTTGCGTATTTAGATTCTATGTGTGAGAGAGTTTGGCCGTAACAAGATTTTGTACTAAAACAGATTAGTAATAATTGAGGCAGCATACCATACTTAATACGGAGTACTCGTGTATGTTAGTCGTCGTGTGTTCCTTTTAAATTAGAGGTGTCAATTTGAATGATCGGATTGGATCGGATCAGGTCAATTTTTTAAGTTGAGCTATGCTAAATTATTATATCAATGCAGGTCTAAATCTAAATCGAATATTTTTCGCATCGATTTCAGATCGGATTGGGTGTGCTTTTGACACCTCTATCCTAAATCACATATCTCACGTGTGAATTTCTTATTTGAAATATACCATTACTGTCAAAAAGTTAAACTTAGTAAACAAATAGAAAAGTTACTTATATAGGAAATTAAAGCGAGAAAGCCAATTCTAAGTGAGGCCCATTTGATAAGGATTATCCAACTGTTTATACTTTTAGAATGCTAGTTGGATCTAAGGATTAACTAGTTGGCTAATCATAATATTAATAAATCATTATATCATGAATTCATGACAATATATGACATATATAGATGAGATAGCTAACTAATTAATAAGTTAAGTTAGGCAAATAATGTAGCAATGTCATTATCAATTAGTTGTACAGTGAAATAATATTAGTCGTGTTTTATAAACTCAAACCCTAATTAGTTTATGTTTTTGGAGGTTAGGGAGCCACAATCACAATTTTACACATATCAATTTTCATAATTTATACAACCGTGCGACCCAACCATAAAAAGTAGTTATGCAATTAATGTTTTTTTTTTTGACAAATAAATCTAAGTAAATTAAAAGTACTCAACTTCACTATTACTTCCCAAACAGCTACATTTCCAGCAAATTTCCGTTGGGATAATTTAATGTTAAAAGGACTACAAAGAAGGAAGATCAACTACGGAAAATTGCATTTCTTACTTAGGATAATGGTTTTAATAATAAACTATCAATAATACGGACTACAAACTATGTCTAAAAAAGAGGAAATAATTTTACACCAAAATTTGGTTTCGGCATTCCATTAAAAAAAAAAAAAAAAAAAAAAAAAAAAAAAAAAAAAAAACACTTTTGGCACGCCATTGTGAAATTTAACCTTTATATGGTTTTTTCAAATGAAAGTGTGTCAAAATCAGTTTTAACTCAATTTTTGTGTGCCGAAATTAGTTCGACATTGATGCTTTAAGAAGCTTTCTATACTCCAAAATGAGTATAGAAATGGATTGATTATTGTTCTTCTAAACCACCTACTCATTGACCATTGTGTACATTGGATGTGTACTTATATTACGTATAATAGTTTTATCAATTGATTTGCTTCTTTTGTTGACTAAATTAGTGATATACATAGATGACGTTACACTTAGTTATTTATAATTTTGGACTTTCATTAATAGCAATTCACTATACAAGTTTGTGTACTGGTACCAAAGTCAAAGTAAAATTATGATTAATGAGACAATTACCTAACCTTGATCCCCCACAACAACAATTTGAAGAAGACTAGAAGCTAATCACCTAGAACTTAGCCTCAAATCCAAATTAGCTCGAAGGGTGAACTAGGTGGAACACTAAAAAAATAAGTAAATTATTTAACAACTTAATACTCAGCTTTCTTAACTATCTATGTTTCACGATATTAGGTATCGTAGCCTATTATGTCTGGCCTTTATCTTAACTGATTATTTTCTTTGAAATTAGTCAATATAAATTAAAAAAAATTAATACGGACATTGTTAAGAAAAATATCAATAAAAGCATTCAGATTTCTTCTCACCCCTTTCATATAAGCACACATTATTTTTATTTTATTTTATTTTATTTTTTTAAAAAAACGGGTAAATAAAGTGTATTGTTGTACTATTTTCAGTTCATAATTTTAAAGCTTACAAATGTCCAGAATATATACAAGATACCTATGCATTCTTTCCAAGGTCAAAGCCCATCAATTTTTGGATCAACATTTCTAGTATTACATTTCCATTTATATCTATTTGCCAAACACAATCTCCCTTCTTCCTATCTCCTCTAGCTTCAATAGTTCAATGTAACATTGTAACTCAATTCATACCAAACAGAAGAAGATGATCTGTTCCAAGTATGAGAAAAATTATTCTAGAAGCTTCTACTATCTGTTGGGTTGATAAGCTCAAGGGCCTTATGGATCCTGTCGATCACAGCCCGCACCCCGGCAAATATGGATGCAAAAATGATCATTTACTTTGTTAGAATGTGGTACATAGGCTCAATTTTGTTACCCCTCCAGATTTTCCTTCAATTTTATTACCCCTAAAATATGGATGCAAAAATGATCATATACTAGAGTAAATTACCCTCCAGAGATTTAAATTGCGTGCAATAAAACAACCCTAATCTAGTCTAGCTTAGACATCCAAGACCCACTATTTTCCTTTGGTTCGGATAAAGTTATCATGTTAACTTTTTATAGTTCTAGTCTCTCTGTGTCATGTATATAAGTAGCTGCTTAGAGTTACCATGAAGCTGTGGTTGAATCTGAAAGCTGTATACAGGCGTAGAATATTTTTCCTGAAATCTAACAGTGCTTAGCATGTAAAATCAGACTTTTATGGCATTCATATGTGATGAGAATGTCAATGTTCTCTCGCCTGATTCTAGACAAGCTTTGACATGGCTAATAACGACATGAAGGGAGAGATAGGAGGCTCGAAGTAAGCATAGCCAAGGAAGTTGATAACCTTATGAATTATGATAGGATTCTAACAGAAAATTGCTAGCTCACAGTAGAGAACTTGACATGATAACGAAGTTAGAAAACATTGTGAAATCATTTTAGCATTTCATTTTCCAAACTACAATTTGCATTTCTCTATAATGTAAACACAGTTTTGATCCTTGCCAAGACACTTCCTAGAATTTCTATGTATCCCACTCTAAAATTTGAATGTGATGAAATAATATCAAACCCGCAATGTGAATTACACTATTGGCATCTGGGAAATGCAACCTTGGAACATTAAATTAAGTACCAAGATCGACTCTTAAAAGAGAAATGTTACAATAATATATAATGAACAAGGTGATGCAGGGTACATTACCTTTTGCTGCCGTGATATCATTCACCAGTAGTCATTGCAGGAGCATTTTCCGTCTTTAAAATGGTGAAATCTCTTAGCATCTCTCATAACGATCTCCCTACCTACAAGTTTTGAAATTATCTTGAAATAATTGTGGCAATCACCACAGACACGAAGGTTTTTGATAATACGAAGTGGCATACGAGCTGGGTTTGTAAGTAGTGCATAGGTGCAAGCAAGTCTCTCGCTGTGCGCCATGATTGCTTCCTCTTTGCTCTCCTGGTCAATGTCATGAAGAACAAATTTGGTCTCTGCAACATACCCAGCTTCTTTTACTGATTCTTTTATTCCCCTTAGAACTTTATAAATCTTGTCATTCTCTGGATGTGTTCTATCACCCGCTCTGTATTCATGCTTTGTATGTGCCAACTGATTATACTTCTTCACCTTCTTCTTTGGAGTGTCTGAATCATTAACCGGTAGAAGCCCATCCTTCAACTCCTTGCTCAAGCGAGCAGGATCCAGCTGCTCCACAATTTGAGCACAGTGATCCCCTATTTCTATATTTCCTTGGACCCTGGCAATATTCATTAAGCTTTCCCAGACATCTGCATTAGGCTGAACAGGCATTTTCTCAATGAACTCTAATGCTCCATCTAGATCACCTGCACTGCCGAACATGTGCACTATGCTAGCATAATGAGCCATGGTTGGAGTAATGCCGTGTATCTTGGTCATTGAATCAAAATGAAGCATTCCCTCGGTTGCATCTCCGAGAAC